ATGCTCCACGTCCACGACTTCAATTCTTCTCTCTCATCAAGAAAATGTCCATTCACATCTCAATGAAACTTAATCGAGTCGTAACGCGAAGTATTTTCTTTCTCTCTTTCTTTTTTCATTAGGAAATTATGTTGTTTTCAAGTAGCGTGACAAAATTACAAGGTGAAAAAACCACAGCATTGGCATCGGGATTTTACGTCGTAAAATTTATTAATTGAGATGGATCTTGACATGCAAGCAACTTGTTTTTTGACTTCCTATGGCGAGCTCTGTTTTCTGGAATCTCTAACCGGTAACTAATGTTTGGATCTTCTGAGTCCTGACCTGAGAAACCCGAGATGTAAATGCCTCCGGACATTCTTGCGTTAAGACAGATGACGACAACTCGCCTTGACATTGCAGAAAAAGGATCGAGACAGCTGAAGAAAACGGAGCTGTAAAGGAGTCAGCCAAATCCCATTTGTTGGCTCTCTTTGTGATTTCAATGGACTGTTACAAACGCGAGAACATGGGATGTGTGTAGCTCCGCCCAGTTACTCGGGGAAACTGTAGATTTTGTGCGTTGTTTCACTGTCGACAGAATAGTTGCTTTTTCAGCAGAAGAATGGTGATCTAAAAGCTCGCGGGTTTTCTTTGAGATGCCCGGAAAAATCAAAGGGTAGTAGTCAAATAGACAAAGCACTTCTCCGTGGTGAGATTTATCACTTGCAATCTTTTCCATGTAACAAAACCCGTGACTGAGCCACCTGGTTGAAGCGACCCAAATATATATGGTTTGGGTTCAAGGAAGCAATGAATAATCGTTACCCACGACCGCTGTCAATCAATACAACATCTCGTCGATTCGGTCACCTATACAATTAAATCTATTGACATCAGGCTCTAGATGGAGCTCCAAATCTAGCTTGCCTTGCTGAGGTCTCCGTTTTCCTTTTTTCCATAACTAGCTAGTCGATGGTTGTGCGGCGCAGGCCGATGCCAAGATCCAAATGAAGCTCGGCTTGCCGAGGTCTTTGCTTTCCTTTTTCCTAGATTTAGCTTGCTGACAGTTACGTGGCTAAGGTCTCACAAAACTCGGGCCAAGGGTCACGAGACGCCATGCTTTAGATGACGTTCCAGATTTAGCTCGTGATGCCAAAGGTCTTTATTTTCCTTTTCTCCAGATCTAGCTCGCCGACCGTCGCGGGATGCTGGTCGATGTCTCAAGCGATGTCCACTGACACCAAGTCTCCTTTGGTAGCTCCAGATTTAGCTCAAAGCCAAGTGTTTTTTCCCTTCATTTCCTTCATTTTTAAGTTGCTTTTGCGAAAGTGTACCAAAAGCAAATCATCCAAACAGTATTTGCTTTGAACAAATACACCTTGAGCCAAAGAACTTAGGGAAAATGCAAAGTCATTTCCTCAAGGGCTCTCCCAAACACACCCAACGTTGGAATTGGCTACTCGTAAAGTTCCTAGGCATTTTCAGAAGAAGACTATATTAAAATATGCAAGCAGGCAGATCATAGCAACAAAATAATGGATCACCTGCCGTTACTTGACGTTCCGTGCGATAATCAATGATTTAGTGATTTACATACCTGCAACGATGACAATAGTGATTTACTCATAAGCCACATCCGTTTTCACAGCTCTTTTAGGGGGTGAGAAATTTTAAAGGAACATGACTTTGAATTACACTTATGATACACTCAAAACAGTAGCAATATACTGGTCATTTACAATTGTTGTGTTAACTACCAAAGATTGCAACTTCGGTACTACACTCGTGCCACATTTATCTTCAACAGATTTTCGTGTCACAAAAAATCTTAAACAAATACACTCATGTCACATGTATCCCAAATTAATTTATTTATCACAAAAAGTCTCAAACCGGTACACCCAATGACAAATTTACCCTCCATCAACTTTCATTCAAAATCATTTTAAATTGCAAACATGGAAACACGCTTGACAAACAACTCGAATGATTAGCGCGTGACATGGATCCGAAGTGGAAATTCACTATAAATTGGCCTCCTAAACCACGTCGTTGAGAAATCTGCAAATTTTGCCCCAAGAGCTCACTCAAATTTCCAAAATCTAGTGATATCACTAATTTCACCTCGATTTTCCCTAATTTTGTGACACGAAGATTAATTTTAGATAAATGTGATAAAGGTGTACCAATTTGAAATTTTTTGTGATATTAACCCTCAAAAGAATTTATCTTTTTCAGGTTGTTGTCTTGCTAAGCCCACCATCAACAAAGCAGCTTCACAAGAAAGATCAGACGACGTTTTGGATCATATCACCTAATGAGCAAAAGATGAAGCAACTTCCTTTTCAGCTCCGTCTTCAACCTCCTCATCATCCTTCACGGCCAACTTAACGAGAACCAGCAGCAAGGGATAGCACACTGTCATAAGCGACCAGTTGACAATAAGCTCCGAGAGGAACGGGACTTTGCGAGTGTCGATTTGCCAAGTGACCGCCGCTCCCGCACTCTGCACTCCTTTGTAGAACCCAGTGTACCTGCGGGGTATAGGAAACCAGATATCAGTTTCAGTTTTAGACCTATAATTGGTGTTGATCAATAGTACACTACCTGCTCAGAGTTTCAGAATCATCTGCTAGGCATCCAATGAACCAATAAGCCTAGGTCTGGAACATTGCGTCCAGCAACCCATAAGAGGAATGGCCAGGCATAATCGGAACCGGAGTCCTTGAAGTCCAACTTCTCGGGCAGGTCCTGGCGGGAGTACTTCAGCTGATTGGCGAGGCCAGCCCCCCAAACCTCAGTCACAAGCAAAGCAACAATCGCAATCCCGACATAACCCCTCATCTTCCGACTCGAGGGGCTGAAATCCAACACATAACCAATTCCAATCGACCCCAGTATCTGGGCCACCCGGCAGAACACACTGTTCAGCCCTTTAGTCCTCAAATTGAACAAGACCCCGTTCACATTAGTAAACTGGTAGCTGTAAAAGAAGTTGCCAGCCCAAGCGGCTGGGGCGATCAAGAGCATCTTCCAGTTGAAGGAAAAACTTGAGAATCTCAGTCGCCTCAATCAAAACGCTCAAGTACTCCACCTTAGTGCAACTGGTCCCGTCATCACGAATCACCTTGCTTGGCAGCAAGATAGCAAGGAAAGAAGCGCACCAACAGTCATAAAACACATGAATCCAATATAGGTTGCATCATTCACAGAACCAGCCTCACTCCTGTTGTAATTCAAGATAAACGGGATCAAACCACCAAAGACGCCCCCCATACTGTAAATTCTCCAGAGCAGGGAGATGTAAATGCCCTTTCGGTCATGCGGTGGGTACGAGGTCATGGTGGCGCCTTCGCCAGCCCACAGGAAGCCTGCACCGATGCCGAGGATCACACCGGTTACGATGGCAAAGGTCTGGTGGTGGTAATGGTTGTAGTACAAGAAAGAGCCTGCATAGAGAGCATAAGGGCTACAACCGGAGGCAAGAGTCAAGCGAGAGCCTAGGACATTATAGATTCCGCCGCCCAGGATGCCAAAGATGGCGAAGGTGGCGTAGAGGGCAGTGTTCGCATTGTTCACCACCTTAGGATCCACCTTGCCGCCGCCCATGCCGATGAGGGCGTTGTACATGCCAGGGCAACAGAAGCAGACCAGCCCAATGAAGCTGACTTGGACCAGGGGGCAGCAGTACCTGAAGACGGACTTCTTCGGCGGCGTGGCCAATTCCTGATCAAGATTGCCCTCCAAATCCATGTCCGAGATTTCGAAAAAAGATCGGTTTTCCATCGAGGGTGTGAGAAATGAGGGACTTTGAGGAGATGGGTTCAAGAAAAGACGAGATTGAGTGAGAAAAATTTCCAGGTTTTGAGGGGTGAGAGGAGAGAAGTGGAAATGAGTTACCCAACGTGAGTCTTGAGTCGAGCTAAGTTGCAAATGGCAACAGGTTTTCAAAGAGAGCTCATTATATTAGTGAAAAGGATTCGATTGGAGGAAGAATCCATGCCTGTGTTGACCCGTGCCTTTGGTGCTCGCCATCAGGAATTTTGTACTCATTAGAGTAGGACAGAATCTGGTGATGCTTCCTGGGTGACAGGAAGATGCCGAGATCATTTAGATCTTACACCAAAATCGTAATGTCTCGAGTTCGAATTTAACTTGACTTACATCTTTTGATTGGAATGAGTTATAAAAGTTTTACTCCTAACATGAGTAAGCAGTTTTATAATCTGATATGTAAACACAAATCAAACTAATTTGATTTCCTAACAACAAAGCATAGTAGGAAGAAAGAGAAGTCGGATCTTAATCTTCATTTTTTCATGATCCACATCTACCACTATAGTTTTTTTTTTTGGTAAGTAAACATCTACCACTATAGTTCTTCTTCTCCCTGTCGAGAAAATGTGTGTTCACTTCAATAAAACTTAATTGAGTTGGTAGGCGACCTACTTTCTTCCTCTCTTTCTTTTTTCCTCGGGATATTATTTTGTTTTCAGATAGCGTGACAAAATCATAGACAATGAGAGACGGAGATGTGTTTGGAATCTAGGTATTGGACTTTAATCCTCGGAGTCTTAGTCTTCCTTTTCATTATTCAATTATTGATTCTCAGATTTTAGCATGAGCCGGCCACCGGCTCCGGTCCGGAGGAAAAGAGAAAGGGAAAATGAGCGAAGGAAAGAAAATAATAATAGATCACAGGGTGAAAAAACCGCCGCATTCTAACCGGTAAATAATGTTTGGATCTACAGAGTCCTGTCCTGACCTGAGAAACCCGAGATGTAAATGCCTCCGGACATTCTTGTGCTAAGATTGACGACTCCAATTTGCCTTGAAATTGCAGAGAAGGATCAAGACAGCTGAAGAAAGGAGCTGTAAAGGAGTTGGCCAAATCTCATTTGTGGGCTCTTCTTGTGATTTCAGTGGCCTGTTACAAACGCGAGAACATGGGATGTATGTAGCTCTGCCCAGTTACTCGGGATAACTGGACAATCTATGCGCTGTTTCCCCATGAACAAAACAGTTAGCTTTTTCAGCAGAACAGTGTCAATCAAAGCTGGCAGTCAAACAGACGCACACTTTTCTCCTTAGTAAAATCGATCACTTGCAAACCTCCATACGTAACGAATTCCGCGATTCAGCAGCGTTGTTGAAGCGACCCGGATATATATGATTCGCGTATTGTTCAACCCTCTGGACGTAAATTTAAGCAAGCAATCATACAAGGAGCAGGATTCATATTAGTAATGAGAGCAAAAACTTATTGTAACATCTGACAACCAAAGCCTTCGAAATAAACGATCCTTAGGAAGTCACAGCTCTTTTACTCATAAGCCACACCGGTTGTCACAGCTCTTCTAGATGGAACATGACTTTGATTACACTTTCGATACACTGAAAAGGTAACAGTGTACCATTCATCTACAATTGCCGTGTTAATGCCAAAGATTACAACTCCAATGGTACACTCGTACCACATTTATCTTAAACTAATTTTCGTACCACAAAAATCTCATACCGGTACACTCATAATACATTTATCCCAAACTAATTTATGTGTCACACACCTATAACAAATATATCATCCGTCAGTGAATGACGTGGCAAACGACTTGAATGATCAGCATGCGACGTGAATCCAATGTGGAAATTAAAAATAAATGGGCCTCCTAAACGATGTCATTCGGGGTCATATCCGAAGAAATTCCGAAATCTGCTAATTTTGCCCCAAGAGCACCCTCATAGAAAATCCCTAATTTTGACTTATAATTTTGGTAGAGCTGTTACGGATGTACTAGTTTGAGATTTTTTTGTGACATGAAAGTTAATTTGGGGTAAATGTAGCATATGGGTATACCAATTTAAAAATTTGTTGTGGTATTAAACCTCAAAAGAAGTAATCTTTTTCAGGTGGTTGTCTTGCTAAGCCCGATGAAACTTCATATGACGTTTTGGATCATCACCTATTGAGCAAAAGATGGAGCAACTTCCCTTTCAGCTCCCTCTTCACCCTCCTTATCGTCCTTCACGGCCAACTTAACGAGAACCAGCAGCAAGGGATAGCACACCGTCATAAGTGACCAGTTGATGATAAGCTCCGAGAGGAACGGGACTTTGCGCGTGTCGATTTGCCAAGCAACCGCCGCTCCCGCACTCTGCACTCCTTTGTAGAACCCAGCGTACCTGCAGAATATTGAAGACCAGATATCAGTTTCAGTTTTAGACATATAATTGGTGCTAATTTAGAAGAATCCAAATTTCCTAGGCCGACATGCCAAAATAGAATCTCTTTCTCAATAGTGGAGAAACTTATGCAATACCTGCTAAGAGTTTCAGAATCATCAGCTAAGCATCCAATTAACCAATAAACCAAGGTCTGGAACATTGCGTCCAGCAATCCATAGCTGACATACAACACGAATGGCCCGGCATAATCGACACCGGAGTCCTTGAAGTCCAACTTCTCGGGCATGTCGTGGCGAGAGTACTTCAGCTGATTAGCAAGGCCACCCCCCCAAATCGCAGTCCCAAGTGAAGCAACAATCCCAATCCCGACGTAACCCCTCATCTTCCGGCTCAAAAGGCTGAAATCCAACACATAACCGATTGCAATCGACCCCAGTATCTGGGCCACCCAGTAGAACACGCTGTTCAGCCCTCTAGTCCGCAAATTGAACAAGGCCCCGTTCACATTAGTAAACTGGTAGCTGAAAAAGAAGTTGCCAGCCCAAGCGGCCGGGGCAATCAAGAGCATCTTCCAGTTGAGGAACAGCTTGAGAATCTCGGTCGCCTCAGTCGAAACGCTCGAGTACTCCACCTTAGTGCAATTGGTCCCATCGTCGCGAATCACCTTGCTTGGCGGCAAGATTGCGAGGGAAAGAAGTGCACCAGCAGTCATAAAACACATGAATCCAATATAGGTTGCATCATTCACAGAACTGGCCTCACTCCTGTTGTAATTCATGAAAAACGGGATCAACCCACCAATGACGCCCCCCATACTGAAAATACCCCAGAACAGGGAGATGTAAGTGCCCTTTCGGTCGTGCGGTGGGTACGAGGTCATGATGGCGCCTTGCCCGGCCCAAAGGAAGCCTGCGCCGATGCCAAGGATCACGCCGGCGACGATGGCAAAGGTCTGGTGGTGGTAGTGGTTGTAGTACAAGAAAGAGCCTGCATAGAGAGCATAAGTGCTACAACCAGAGGCAAGAGTCAAGCGAGGGCCTAGGACATTATAGATTCCGCCGCCCAGGATGCCGAAGATGGCGAAGGTGGCATAGAGGGCGGTGTTCGCGTTGTTCGCCGCTGTGGGGTCCACCTGGCCGCTGCCGCCCATGCCGGTGAGGGCACTGTACATGCCAGGGCAGCAGAAGCAGACCAGCCCGATGAGGCTGACTTGGACCAGGGGGGAGTTGTACCTGAAGAGGGACTTCTTCGGCGGCGTAGCCGATTCCTGATCAAGATTGCCCTCGTAACCCATGTCGGAGATTTCGAAAAAAGATCGGTTTTCGATCGAGGGTGTGAGAAACGAGGGACTTTGGGGAGATGGGGTTCCAGAAAAGACGAGATTTGAGTGAGAAAAATTTCCAGGTTCTGAGGGGTGAGAGGAGAGAAGTGGAAACGAGTGACCAACGTGAGTCTTGAGTGGAGCTAAATTGCAAATGGCAACAGGTTTTCAAAGGGAGCTCATTATGTCGGTGAAAAGGATTCAATTGGAGGAAGAATCCATGCCTGTGGTGACCTGTGCCTTTGGTGCTCGCCATCAGGAATTTTGTACTGACTCGGCAAAAGAATCTGGTGTTGCTTCAGTACAAAAGAAAAGGTCTGGGTGATAGGATGATGACGAGGTCATTTAGATCTTGCGCCGAAATCATAATGTCTCGAGTTCGAACTTAACTCGACCTCCATCTTTTGATTGCAATGAGCCATCGAAGTTTTACTCCTAACATGACTAATGCAGTTTTATAATCTAAGTAAGTACAAATCGAAATAATTCGATATTTTAACAACAAAGCATAGTAAGAAAATGTCCTAAATCTTTGGGTTTTTTTCGTGGTCCATGTCCACAACTTGAATTCTTCTCTCTCGTCAAGGAAATGTCCATTTCGCATTCGAATGAAACCTAATTGAGTCGGCAGGCGACGTATTTTTCTCTCTTTCTCTCCCTTTATTTTTTCTTTGGGAAATTATTTTGTTTTCAAGTAGCGCTCTCCCTTTATTTTTTCTTTGGGAAATTATTTTGTTTTCAAGTAGCGCGACAAAACCGTAGACAATGAGAGATGGAGATGTGTTTGGAATCTAGGGATTGGACTTCAATCCTCAGATTCTTAATCTTCCTTTTCATTATTCAATTATTGGTTCTCGGATTTTAGCGTCGGCCAGCCATCGGCTCTGGTGCGGAGGAAAAGAGAGAGTGAAAACGAGCAGAGGGCAAAAAAAATTACGAGGTGAAAAAACCGCAGCATTGACATCGCAGTTTTACATTGTAAAATTTTTGCCACTAAAATTTATTAACTGAGATAATCTTGACATGCAAGCAACTTGTTTTTGACTTCCTACTGCGAGCTCTGTTTTCTGGAATCTCTAACCGGTAACTAGTTATTGGATCTATGGAGTCCTGACCTGAGAAACCCGAGATGTATATGCCTGCAGACATTCTTGTGCAAAGACTGATAGCTCCAACTTGCCTTGAAATTGCAGAAAAGGATCAAGACAGCTGAAGAAAGGAGCTGTAAAGGAGTTAAGCCAAATCCCATTATGTGATTTCAGTGGACTGTTACAAACGTGAGAACATGGGATGTGCGTAGCTCCGCCCAGTTACTCGGGAAAAACTGTACTATCTTTGCGTTGTTTCCCCGTGAATAAAACAGTTTCAGCAGAACAATGTAAATCAAAGCTAGAAATCAAACAGACAAGCACTTCTCCTTAGTAAAATTGATCACTTGCAAGCCTCCATGTGTAACAAATTCCGGTATAGAGGCGCGCCGTTGAAGCGACCCAAATATACATGATACAGGAATTGTTCAACCCTATGCTCGTAAATTCAAGCAAGCAATGAATAATTGTAAACCCACAATCACTGTCAATCCATACAAGGAGCAGGAATCATATTAGTAATGAGAGCAAGAATTTATTGAACATTTATAATTATAAAGCCTCAAAATAAATGATCCTTAGGACATAGAAAAGGAGTCGCCCTTGCAAACGTACCATATGACTTAATATAGAGAAATGCACCAAATTCATCTCAAAGCACTCCCAAAGTACCTTCACTTCGACTTCTACGAATTGCAAGATCCTGCTTCATGTTGCGGAGTTTGTCACTGAAGTCCAAATTGTAGTGCTGGTGATGAGTTGCTCCCTTGGTTCCACTCGGGGGAAGGCGTGCATGCTTCCCCTTAGAATGTTTAGGAGAAACAGGCGCTTGACTTCTCCGACCAGATGATGGCTTGCTAACCAGCCCATAACCACCCTTCCTTGTCGATTTGTGTTCTGATCTAAGGCCACTGCGATCGAATTGATGGGAACTAGCCCCCAGCCGAACTGATCGATCGGCGGCGTCCTTCAGTGTACCCACTTTTATGAGTTGTCGGTTGTAATATGCCAGGTGAGGAAGAAGGCCCTGCAGATACTTCTTAAGCTGGTCGTCTCCCACATTCTTCTGGGCTGGATTCCCTTCCAGGCTAACAGCTTGCAAGGAATTGTAGTTTGCTGCAAGCTGGCCTAAACATTTTGCTGTGGAGATCTTGTTGGCACGGAGATCCAAAACATTCAGTTTCAGAAGGCGGTGAAGACCCTCGACTTCACTGATCTTATTCCCAGACAAATATAGCTCCTTCAGCGATGAACAAGAAGCTAGGCCTGATCATTTAAATGTAAAGATTAATCAATAGCAGAACCTTACAGAAAGATGATACAAAGCTTGCATGTCTCTATTCAAAGTATGTCGGACGAAATAATTGGGTAAACATCCCATCTTTCTGAATGAGATACGGACAAATAATGCAGTATAACATAAGCATTACCATGTCCAATTCTGACTATCCTGTTGTAGCTCAAGTCCAGTACACGCAATCGAGTCAATTCACGTAAGCCTTCAATAGTGGAAATCTGGTTTTTTGACAGATTTAACATATGAAGTCCCCGAGGAAGAGCACCAGCTATAATCCTCACTGGGAAAGGTAAGATCAAACATCAGGAAACGCAACAGCTACTAAAAGCATAAGAAGCCAACAGTTCAGAATGCAGACTGATGAGCATACCTATGTTGTTTCCCAACAGATTAAGCATCTTCAAGCTCGTGAATGCACTAAGAAACGGGATCACCACCAAACCATGGTTCGCCAGCTGAGCTGTAGTTGCTGAGGCACTCAGGGATGAAATGTATCTCTTAGCAGCTTCGTTTCCAAGACTCACCTTAGGCTCAACTTTTGCTGTCGTCAGACCATTCAAAACAGGGTATTCTCTCTTGTTCTGATCATTTGGCCGGTATGGCTCCTCCACTTCTTCCGAAGGGCTGCAAGGCTGGAGATCTGTGACCCACTCCTCAATCCGCTTGGTCTTAAAATCCTTGTTTGGTAAATCATACTGTTGTTGAGATGAGCTTTCCCCTCTATGGGGTTTCAAGAAGTTCTCATCAAAAATAGGAGTAATCCCCCCTTGGGCTGAACCAGCATAATCATAATCATGATAATCATTACCAACAGCATCTTCATAGATAATATTTTTACCTTTGCACACATTGACATCTCTTTCTTCTTGAGGGGAGAACTGATCTTTAAGCTCAGGAATGGATGGCCCTATTTGGCTCGTGCTGAGATCGAACAGGTCCCCAGAAGATTTTGTTCTGAGTCCCAAGTGCTCCTTCGGATGTTCACCTGACTTAGGAGACCAACCACCAATGTTGGGCATCGATTGGGGTCTAACTAACTCTGGAGAAGTATGAGGTGTGTGATCCCCAGAGTCACCCGCATTTTCTCCACAATATTGGGCTTCAGAATTTTCTAGGACCCCTTTCTCAGTACTTTGTGAATCTCCAATTGAAAAAATTGATTTCTTGTTATGGTTAGGCACTTGACATGTATCAAAGGGTCCATTCTTACGATATTCACCAAATGGCATAAAGCCCAATTCATCGCTGACGTCCTCCGTAACTGACCTGCTACAGTGGTCAAATGAGAATCCATGCAAATTACTTGCAAGAGATTGAATTTTCTTGAGATGGCCGGTGTTTAGATCCCTTGTATCAATCTCCATATTATCAACTTTACTCCCCATTTCTTCTGATTTCCAACCTCGTCCAATGGATAGAGAATCTGCAACCTTGTCCACAATTTTGTTCATCTCACCATCTCCATGCAATTCTGAAAGCAATGAATTTGGGCTCATGGCATTCTCCGAAGCCTGAAATTCAGAAGAACCCTGAAACTCACTAACTGCTTCAACAGGTGGATGTGCTGATTTCTGCTTGAGAAAAGGAAAGGATACAGGATTAAGAAGGGGAATGAGTGAATCAAACTGTGGACACAAGTCCAATCTGTAACAGTGTATGAACTTTTAGATCAGATGTGATTCAAAACAAAACCACTTCAGTAAATCCACCAAGAAAAACTAACAGCATGTAAGCCCTTACATGTTTAGTGAAGTTTAGATTAAATCACCTAAATAATAAAATAAGCAATTATGCCCTCAGATTTAAATTTATTTATGATCAAGCCTCACACTACAAATTCTCCTTGTAATTTCTCGGAATTTCAAATGAGTACACTGAACTTCTGCCTAAAAGCATACCCTCTTCCACCCAAACAACTTTTGAAATGAAGGAGTAAACTTCTTCAGGACTACTTGAAGTGCAGTACAAGGGACTAATTATGTGAGTGCAAGTTGGAAGTAGCTTAATTTGGTGTGCGCTAATGTCAAACAAAATAACAAAAGAATGCAAGTAATTGTCTTCAAAATTGAAAAAGAAAGAAGAAAAGAGAGTAGAGTGATGAGTTACCTTTGGTTTGTGACCATACATGTGACCATTGAAGCAGGAAAATCGAACCATCGTGCTAATACTGAGCAGAGCTACATCCACACACAATCTACTTTGTATCACATCAAAAGCTATATATGGCAATTTATTCTGCCCAAGAAAAGAAAAAACGGACTTCCCCAACAATGTGATAAGAAGCTACCATCGAAGTTCAGATTAGTCAGCAATGGCTTTAACCGTAATCAAGAAACAAGCCTTCAGAAACACGGCATAGTCTCCAAGCATATGATGATCTTGATCGTCTCAACACACAAAGCAAAGTTGCTCTCTCATTACTACCCCACACCCTCACAAAGGTGGGAGAAGCCTTCAATCTTGCAGCAGCGGCCAGAGTGAAAAGCAATCTGAGCAGCTATAAATTCAAATTCCAAACATCCACAGGATCCTGGCCTGATAGAACGTGAAAATGATTAAGTTTTGCATTATTGTCATGGGGAAAAGATCCAACAAGCTTTAAAAAAAAAAAAAAAAACTAAGCTTTAAGAAAAACAAGGTGAGTTACGTATTAACCATGCTTCAAAAGGTACTAAGGTATACCAGACACAGATGAAGTGATTTGTATGGACTAACTCAATGAGATTGATGGCAGTATTTGCAGCAAAAACTCAATGATACGTGCGCCAAAAGTTCACAACAAAAATCCGTTAACCCCGAATTTATGAAATAGCTCCTGATAATACGAAACTTCTTATATTTCTCTGCCACGCGATAAAGCAAACTCTTAAAAGAAAAGGGCGTCTCAATCTTATATATGCAAGCTACCTCCTTGAACCAAACCCAGCAGATAGTAAGCCACAATTTTATTTATCCCAAAGGCGAAACAAAACATGATGCCTATGTAACTCTCTTTCTTAACAACAAAGTGTACAGCAATCAACAGGGCAGAGAGACCAACGGTCCGGATTAATAATGAACAACATTGGAATCGAGACTAGAAATGAACCCGTCCAGAACTGAATTCAAAGGAACTTTAGAACCTAACAACCACCTCATCCAACATTTTTCTACCATAACAGAATCTAGATTCTTCTTGTGTTTCTCTTTTGCCTGTGTCTACCTCCCTATAATCCTGAGGCGGTGACCTTATCCATGCAATCTACAATCAATTTGCTCGTTGCTTGATGATTCTTGAACAGGCAATACTCACATTTTTCAAGAAATCCGCTTATAAGTAAATAACAAAATTATCGACCAGAAGTCAAGACAATCCCAACGTTGACAAATGCCTCTCTGAAGCCTGAATATCTTTCGGTCTTCTCTTTTGACCAGAAATTAGCCAAGACCTATTTTTGAATAGATCAGCAGCTCATCAAATTCAATAGGATAGCTCACAAGAAACCACTTTCTCCACCGCACACGTCTCTTCTTCCCCTCACACAAACTCACAAAAAATTCTTCTTGTCAAACGTCATATGCTCGAGAGAAAACACAAACGAACATCTTGACGAATCACAAGCAAAACCCAGTTGACCCACACATCCAACGCCCCCAGTAGAAAACAAAGATTCAACCTTTTTCAAGCCAGATTGCGGGCGACCCCTCGTTCAGGAGATTACCCTTCTTGGGTCTTCCGATGCCAACCCAAAAATCAACGCCAAAATCCCAACTTTCTCGAACCCCTCTTTATATCTTCAAGCAAAAAAGCGCACGCTCGGCTTCAGGCTGGTGGTGGGAGGACAGAGAGAGAGAGAGAGAGAGAGAGAGGGAGGAGGACAACACGGTGACGCAAACCCTAGAAAGGCCCGCCCGGGGACGCAATTTATACCATCTGGGTTTTACTTTACTCGCCGCCTAAATTCCACTCCAGAAAAAAGGGTACGTGAATCGAACACAGCTCCCACGGAAAAAGATGCGAAAAGACGACGTGGGGGTCGAATTTTGAACGCGAATTTGAATCGGGTGGGACTGAAATTCCCACTTTCCTTTCGAATCAGGCCCCAAGGAAAAACGGAAAAACAGGAAGGAAATTTGATAAAAGGACGGAAGGAGAAAAGGGGGAGAAATTGGCGTCCACGAATTGAATCGTTCAGGAGAGAGAATGTCGTCCTTTTATAAATCACCGAACAAGTTGCCGCCATATCTGCAGTTTCCTATACACTGGCGATGGATTGTCTTCTTCCCCGGAAAGCGACAATTTTTCCCGCATTTCGGTTCCCTCCCCCAGGAAATCAACCTCCCACCCGAACGTGAGCTGATGGCTTCAACCGTCCACAAAATTTAAAAAAGCTACGAGGTTGGAAAAAATTGAAAGGGACAATCACGCAAAATCACGTCGTCCTTAAATTTTTAATTTGTTTAATATAATCGTTAAAAATGACTACATTGAATATTTTTATATAATTTAAAAAATAAATTAAATACATATTTAAAGTTCAGAGACGGTATTAAACAAATTAAAAATTCAAGAACTGTATTGAACATTTGATTAAAGTTCATGGATCACATTGAATAAATTAAAAGTTCAAAGACCCCATTACACATTGGGCCAAAGTTAGAGATTGTTTGTGTTATATTTCCAATTTAAAATTTTAGCTCTTCATCGTTCGATACCTAGCCATCTTTAAGAGACCTTTTCCATTTTCTATTACACCGGTTACTCATAACGAGAGGGATACCGTACAGGAAGAACGATAAATCATTTCCCGTGCAGTTATAATGTGTTAGCAAAAGACTTCCCCACAAAAAGAAATCGACAAAAATCATAAGGGCCATATGAAATGTTAGAAGCCGTGAAATAATTGCTTGAAGGTGGTATACGGTTCTGCCGATGCAATAAATTCAAGCTTTGCCCTGAATTTATATGATGAAGTTTGATAATCGAGGAGGCGAGATAAATAAGGGGTCGATAGCAGGATACCCTTTTGACGACAAACAAATAAAAGGGCTCAATATCACTAAAAGACAAAGGAATCCGACTCGGTCGATAAAAATATACGTACTTTCTATGTATATGGCCAAAAAGAAGAAGGGAAAAAGGGACAAATTTTTGGAGGCGTGGTACATTTATACAGACAAGAACAAGAACGAATCAATGGGGCAATCTTCTTTTCGTTTCGGGCAATGGGGGATGTAAACGTTCGGTCCATGCGATTACACGTGATCATATAGGGCAGACATTAAGCATCAAAATGCACAATATGGACAACATTCGTCGAGATATCAAGATCCTATTCATTTCTTTTATAATAGAAACAACGAGATCGACTTTATCAAAATCGGCAAACCGCTGCTTTTTGCTTTGCATGTTAAGTGCAAAAAGGTGCTCCCAAAGCCACTGCTTTAGCATCCGGGAAGAACCCCGGCAAGTACTAATTGCGGTCTTTGTGCTTGATTGAATTAGACATTGAAACGGGGCCTGCTTTGAATCCGATCCTTAAAGCACCACAATTCATGTCTAAATATTGATGGCTCTTTTGAACACCCTGTTAATCTCCATCGAATGTGAGATCGCTCCATCCACACATCTCCGGCAAGTATCCGAGATGCGCAAAGTGTGTATTTTTGGGGGAGAATGCGGATTTATATGGTTTGATTACGAGTCCGACTCCAAAATTTAACATTAATCCTCTAGTCTTCTTTGCCTTTGCTTCGGTTGGATCCCTTTTGGTTGCTCATATAAAACTTGCCAAGTTGCCATACAATATCATGAGAGGCATAGCCCTAAAAAAATCACTTGTTTTACTAATATATAGAGAGCACTCAATGCCTACACTACTCATAATTTCACAACATAATTTTTGCTGGAGATTAAATCAAACGGAGATTAAACCATATCATAAATAGGCTTAGATTTGTAAGTAGTGGTCGACAATGATGATCCACCCCCTTCTATAGCCAAAGATATCCCTACTCCATCGGCATTGCCAAACTCTCTTCCTTTTCGAAGGAAAAGAAACCCCTAGGAGTCGCGACCGGCGATCGAGTTTTGAACCGGACCCGGTGCTCACCCGAGAACCGTAATCAAATGGAAGGCCTTCATGCCCCACGCACGCACACACAAGCTATGGACTTTTCATGGACAATTTTGGGCAAATTTTTGGCCCTTTCATTGTATGCCAAATGTCAACTTTTGTGGGGGTGGTGGGGGGGGGAACCCATTTGGGCCATCAAAGCCCACCATCTCAAAGCCCACAAAGATGGCAAAGCGCTCGTTTTTTCAACCGGAATGCAAAAGGGAAGTCGCCGTACCGTCTCCCGGTCGCTGCGAACGATGGCTTCCAAACCGCTTCTTCTCAGGCGGCTCTCGAGAGCCCTCCAGCGCCGCCCGCGTCCTTCTCCGGTCGGCGCGTCCCCTCGCGAGCTTCTCGTGGCATCCGGAGCGCCGCGAGGCTCCGCCGGTCGTGCCGGCCTCCCGTCTCGACGCGTCTCTCGAAGCTTCTCGTCCGGCCCGTTGGGCGTCGGCGATCCCCCGGGCCCTGCCGCCATTGACTATCGGTACTCTATCTATCAAGTTTCGATTTTTTCCCTGTATTTGTTCGAATCTATCGCGGGAAAATGGTGGGTAATAGCTTAATATCCAATCTGTCTAGCTCTAGCGTATTGTCGGTCGAATGGGTCTTATCATGGTTCTGCTGTCTAGTTCGCTAGGCCGTGCTGAAACTGTTTCGTTGAGATGATGCTAGTTTAATTAAGAAGGAAGGGACTGCAAATTTTTTAAATGCGAGAGTGTTGTCAATGGGAAGCAGCGGTTGTGCTAATGAATTAATATGTACACAGTTCTTTACTGCAGGAGGATGAGTTCCACAGGCTAGCAGATTCCACCATCCATGACCTGCAAGAGAAGTTTGAGGTAATGATTCCAGCACTGAATATGTTCAATCTGTGATTTGATGGGGTTGTTTAATTGTGAGAGTTCTGGTCTATCAAGCATGCCAACTCTTGTTTCGCAGTTTTAAAAGAAAAAGAATGCAATTTGACTGTGAAGATATCAGGAGCGCTTTCTCTTTGTATAAATGAAGTTGAAAATCATAGCTTTCTGCGTCATTTCTTTTCTGATGTGCTATGCAGTACAAAACTGATTGAATGCTCATACTATGCCGCTGTAAAGTGGAAAATCTATTGTTGAAGCAGGTAGAAAATGTCTGTATTTTGGGGAGGGATTATATGCAAGTGTTTATTGATGCTTGCTTCAAGTGCAAACCAGCGATGGCTCCAAATGCCAAGGCATGCATCCTTATCTCTTTGTGTGCGTGCAGGATTATGGGGATGACGTTGAGATTGATGGGTTTGATATAGACTATGGGGTAAGAGAGATTAATTAGTGTTCAAGATTTGGTTGTTTAATTTGGTGAGTTTCAAAAGTCAAACTGACCTGAACAATTTTTCTGGATGTTGGCAGAATGATGTTTTAACCCTCAAAATTGGGGAATTAGGCACGTATGTATTGAACAAACAGACACCAAACCGGCAAATTTGGCTCTCCTCTCCAGTGAGGTATGAAACGTGTTAATTGATTATGATCCCAACATTAAATGCTCGATGTATTGATGTTGCAAACTTTTGAGTGTATCATAAACAAATCAGCAAGACCTCCTGTTGAACTGTCACTGCTTACCAGATGCATGCTCTAAAGAATATTCAATCACTTAACTAGTGGCCGTGGCTGGGAGAAGGGCCAATCCTTCGGTAGTTCGTCCCTATCTTTTCCTTTGGAACTGTATTAGCTCCCTCAGAATGACCGAATTTACATAATAACGAACTAACTGGGGATTATATTGTTTTGCGTCGATGAAGAATTTGGTATCTGAAAACAATTTCTAAACCATAGTTAAATCTTCTAGGATGCTTGTCCTTGCTTTCTGTGCCATATGCCTTTTACTGTTTCGGTGGTGTTGCTTGACCAGCTGTGTCATGATCCTTAGTTCTGCTGCATTGTAGCCTGAAAAAGCCCAGTGGTTTTAGATAGTTATACTGGGAGTACATTCTTCTTGGTGAAGTAGCTCCTTTCGCTGCGGACTAACAAGGCGACGTATCTTAGAAGCCAATTGGACTCCAACACCTCAGTGTCGTACATCTGAAATATGTCTGGAAGGACTTCCGATTCCTAAATTCTCTCAGAATGATGGCGGCCAAACTGTACAAGTGGTATTGAGTTTACATCTGATAGGGATCTGAATTCTTGGTAAATGGTCTTGATGAATAAACGGCATGGTCATCAGAGTGGATTGAATCAAGTCTAACCATTGCTTCGGTACTGGGTAGCTTGCATTCTTAACCTACTCAACTTCTTTGATTGTCATACTTAGTCCCTGATTGTAAATCTCTACGGGTGGCTATTAGTTCACTTAGATAACCTGATGGATTGATTCTCTCGATTAAGTTTTTACATCATAAGTCAGTGGATCTGGCTGTAATGAGTAGGCAGATAAATGCTCTAGAGGGACAAACCGTGCTGAATTGAAAATTTTGAGGACAGAATACTTCCTATAGATAACTCTTTTTCAGCTATATAATTTGTTGCGACCTGAAAATGTTCCTAGTTCTTGAAGCCTGTTTCTAGATGAAAAAAGGTTGTGGAAAGATAACCTGGTTCCAAGGGTCTCGAGAATAAGTTAGATGTGGTGACACTTAATTCTCCAGCTTCGTTATCTACAAAACATGTTCTCTTTACATATTTGCAACACTTTTATTTTTCACAGTTGGAGGATGTAAGAATAATTTAATGCGGTCTTGTCATAAACTGTAGACCTTGGCCGGACTTCCAAAAGACGAAATCGAATGGTGCCTACAATGATCGGAAAGGGTATAAAATGGGGCAAAAATTGGATGGTTTAGGGGACTGAGTAGCCTCCAAGTGTTGCTAGGGGAAAGCAGCAAATATTTCATAGTTCATAATAGACTGGGGTAAGGGCAAATAATTCTCATTCATAGTACTCTTATTAGGTCATCTTCAAATACAATGGCTGCCATTGCTTCCATGGCGAGAGTGGCAAGATGGTGAACTTGATTTAGTACTTGATGTGCATCCACGCAGAATAATTATGATACCAGCACGGCTTCATAGATCATGCTAGTGGTGTTTGTTATAGTAAATGTTGTGGGCCACTATTTTGTTTCCTATCAACGACGACCGTAATGGAAGCTGCCTAACTTAGACTCTGTTTAGAGATTTGCGAGCATTTGATCTAATACTATGTTCCTGTTGCAGTGGTCCGTCTAGATTTGATTGGGATCAGGAGTCTCAGTCATGGGTTTACAGAAGAACCAAGGCTAATCTTTTGAAGGTCCTAGAGACAGAGTTGGAGAATCTCTGCGGTCAACCTATTAGTCTCTCCTAGCAAATGTTAGTTTCCATTTTTAGTTCTCTTCCTCAAATAAAAAACTTTGAGAGGACTGCTGCTTGATGTAAGACCCTGGCTAAGCTTTTATTAATGTGCTGTTTATGGGTGTGAAATCACAGTCTCTTGGCCTGTACTGAGCTTCTAACCATTGAAGCACTGAACCCCATCCATTGATCTAAGGGCCGATTTGCTCTAAGCTCACAGGCACCCTTTTCACACTAGTTTCAGCCGTTTCGTTAAACTTTCGTGGCAAAGCATATCATCTCTCTAGAGGTGAGGAGATATAGAATAACAATTCAATGTCACCTCTGCGCGCGCGCGCGTATGTCAGCCAAAATCGTTTGGCGGCCATGGACGAATCACGGTTGGGGTTGGATTATGGTAGGCCGTCCTGCGACCTTTTGCTGCTCAATGCAACTTTTAGCAAACATTTGCGATAATTTATGGGATGCGGTACAATTATCTTGATACCTTGCACTCTGAGCTAAGAGTGTTAAAGAGTCTTTCATCCCGTCCTTCCTAATCTGAAAGCTTTCGTCCATCAGTCATCATTGTGGGCGATGATGAATTGGTTGAACGGTAGCTTGGTCTATCCTCCTTGCGTTGATGAGTTCAGAGATGTTCTTCCTTCCTGCTCATTTTGGTTTGCAGCTGAGGATATAAGTCGGCTGCTGAAGTAAAGTGGTTGCTCGTTGACCCATGCAAGGCTTATAGATCAGATTGAGCAATGCCACGTAATTAGCGTTGGGGAAAATGACGTAAATGTACCCTGAAATTTGGCTCAATGTATAATTTTTGTTCAATGTGATCTCTGAACTTGAATATAATGTACAATATCATTTTTGAAATTTTTGATTTATTTAATGTCATCTCAAAATTTTTTATATATATTCAATTCTATTTTTTGATTATACGAAAATGTTGGATATTATTCTATTATCCGTTAACAATTTGATCCTTGGGATTTCGAATCAATCATGCGAGCTAGGGAGGCCATTTGGATAACAAGAGATTAGTTAAAAGACTGGTTGGATTTGACTTATGTTGACCAAAGATAAGATGAGTCCCACTCAGGATTTCCTGTCTTGTCAGTGTAATGAGTTGTCGCGCACGTACAGCGTTTCACCTATCTTTTGATAAGATTCAATTGTGCTTGGTATGCAATGTGTAATGTGCCCCCCTTGGAGCCATGTTAATAACACAAAAGGAAAGGAAATTTTACGTTTCAAGAGGTTTTTTGGGGTTCACATATGTGTTGAGGTAGAGATATTTCGATAATTAATTTTTAATTTCGGCGAATTTCAACTTTTAACTCAATAAAAGAGAGATCTGTTTCTATTGCTCCCGAGTAACCCAGCCCCATGGGGTTTTGTAACGCGGTTGGATCACAAGATAATGCATCTAAAGTTGTTGATCAAAACGCTTTTAAAAGTACGTATGCCACGAGGCGACTAATTACGATTGGGAAAAACCATCCCCGAAAGGGATTACGTATCTCTTGAGAGCTAGCGACGAATGACAAGAAAAAGATGCGAAATGGGCAATATTGATGCCGAAGCAAACCGTGTCAGATATAGAAACAACCCGCCGAAGCTCGGATTCACAAGATACGCGTCCCTGATGACTATTAGCTATGCAAGTCCTTCCGATCGAAAATATAAAAAAAAAAATCACGCGAGTCTCATGAGAGATCTAATTGCATTCAGATAACCTGATCGCATGCGGATACGTGAATCCTAATCTAAGCAAAGAATTTTCCGGGCCCCGAACAGCATCGGGAGGCGGGGCCCGATCAGAATTTTAAGATCAGTAAAAAGAGCTCCCTTCCCATCATCCTTGGCTCACCGTCGCTCAGGAAACCTCCCATTTTCCACCACACAAAAGAGGGGGGAGGAGGGGGACCTCCTCAGGACACTCGAAAAAGCTCGAAACGAAACCTCCGCCACAAGAGAGGCATCCCTTTCCTTTACTCCCAAGTTATATTCTCTTGTCCCCTTTTTCGAACCCAAATACGTCCCATTGCCCAACAAGCAACCTCCCCCTCCCCCTCCCCGAAAGTCAAAATTTAACTTTAAAATCCTCAATTTGGACGGCGCGCGAGGCGCATATTAAAGAAGCCGCCGCCGCCTCCGCCGCGACCATGCGGGGATCGGAACCTCAACCTCCTCCTCCTCCTCATCCTCCATCACCACCGCGACTTCTCCCGAGGAGGGTTCCTCTTCCGCATATTCTATGCTCCGCGGTCGCGAGTTAACGTGGTCGAGATCGTTTCTCGTTCCGCCAAAAGTCCTCGGGGCATTTTTTTAGAAAAGGAAGAAAGGAAGCGCTTCAGCCCCCCCCCCCACACACATCTTTGATGGTGATGGGCGGCCACAAAGTGTGGCCTCAAATCAATTCTAAAGTCGAGACGGACAGGAGCTTATTCTAATCCGGTCTTTGGGCATTAAAATAGAAGTCAAGTGGGTGGTGCGCCAAGCCCAGATATTTACCTGGGAAAACATTATATTAAGCGATCGGAAAGTGTCTCCCCCGGTTGGGAACCCCGGGACGAGACCCGGACCCCGGCTCAAATCGACGGCCCGGATTAGAGAAAGTGGGAGCAAATCGAAAAGGTCTCGGCAGGCCAGCCGGCGCGGTGGTCCCCTAGCCATAGGCGGCGGCGGCGGCGGCGGTCTCGACGGAGATATTGGAACCCCATCTTCACTAAATTAGAAACGTGTGCCCGTCAGGCGGGTAATGTTATGCGGTCCTAGAGGCGTCAAGCGTCGTCGCTGCAGTTCTCTGACTTTTTCTCATAGATTCAGGCCCCTCTAGACGCATACGTTATAGCTTCAGACGGCTCGTCCGGCGCCTTGGCCCCTTCGCTTACGGATGATACCAAGAGCACCGCAGCCACGATTTCGAGACATACACATCGAATTGAAAAGAAATGAACGCGACAAAGGATGGGGTTCAGTCCTTGACCAAAATATGTCTTGGCAATGTCACTGGAACGAAGATGCAGACAAATTACTAATGGCCTCCAACGTCAAGCTCAAGCACCAGCACCAGCGGCCCATCTCCTCTGTCCTTTGTGAGTGTTGGGGGGTTCTGTAAAATGTCCTGTTACGAGCCAAAAAGAGACAGACCCATGAAAACGAAGCAAGCACTTGACAATCATGGAAGCTGCACATGAAGCTTCTTGTCGATTTCGGAGATACCCATGTGTCCGAATTCCCCCACGATCCCCCATGTTACATGGTGTGAATGAATGGATGGAGGAAACAGGGACCATTGAATTGGAGCTGACCAGAATTGGAAGGGGACGATGCTCTCAAATGAAAGCACACACGGTACTATTTCACTCTTTCGAATTCGGTTTTACTCCCAAATGAATCAGCATTACAATCTCCACCACAGCCAATCCGAACCGATTCCCCACACCCCCGAAAGCTAGCTACTGCTAAGGCTACCGAATCGATTAATCAGCCGACGCCGGGATTCGATCGGATCGATCGAGGCTAGACGATGATGTTGTTAATCGACACTCGCGATGGAAGGGGCTCATGAACATCACACAGCCTTATACCTCGCCCCCCGCCATCCCTTCAATCTAGACAGGTTGGACCTTGTACGGACCCGTCTCGCCCGACCCGCCGGTCTTTCGACGGCCTCCACGAGTCAACCGAGGTGGCCTCGCCGTCCCTGGACCGCGTCCTCGCCGCCAGCATTGGCCTCCGGTGAGTCGGCCGAGAGGACGAGCGCTCGAGCTTCTCCTGCACATCGAGAGACCAAGAGTCGTTGATTTTGACCACTGAAGTACGGATCGAACAGGCAATTACGGAAACTCGAATGCGTCCGAAACGAAATCGTTCACGCGCGACACATCGGTCAGCACAGATCTACTACGGGGTCGAGGAAAGCAGAGACAAGAAACCTCGCGGATGTTCGCGATCACGAACCTGAGAGCGAAGATCCGTCCGGTCGTCAATCGTCCGCTTCGACGAGCACATTCTCCCCGCTCCACACTCCTCCGCGTCTCCATACCCGCACCGCAAATTGCTGATCGACTCCTCGCTGCTGGACGAGCTCGCCGCCGGCGGAGGAGGCGTCGTGGACGACCACGGCACCACCTGGTTGTCGCCGTCCTCGTCGCGATCCCCGCCGCCTCCCTCCTCCTCGCCGCCGCCTCCTCCCTCCCCGCCGTCCTCGTCCTCGTCCTCGTCCTCCTCCTCGTCGGCGTCGTCGTCCTCGTCCTCGTCCTCGTCGTGGAGATCGTCGTCATTGCCGCCGCCGCCCGCGCCGCCGCCGCGGGCGCCGGTGACGCAGGAGTCGCAGACGGAGACGGTGTGGCCGAGCCGGGCGCCGGAGGCCTTCCAGGGGGTGGGGGCCTGGCAGGCGTGGCAGAGGAGGGTGCGGGAGTGGCGGGCGACGAGGAAGTTGGCGCCGTGGACCTTGGCGTCGCAGTCCCAGCAGAGGGCCGCCTGGTCCGACTCGCAGAACGTCCTCGCCGGCACCTTGCACAGTGCACACGTCTTCGCCGTATCCATCTTCCTCCTCCTCCTCCTCCTTCCACCGCCTTCTTCTGCTCTGCTGCTGCAAGAGAAACTCTCTCTCCTTCGCTCTCTTTCTCTCTCTATCTCTAGCTTGTACGAACGAGTGGGGGGATGCACAGGGCGCAGAGGAGAAAGCAGCAGCAGCAACCTGTGGTGGTGTGGTGCGGTGTGGTCTCGTGGGAAACGGTCGTTTCCTTTCCTTTGCTTTCAGACCACTAATTAACCTCGTATTACTTTGGCACGTGCGTCTCTCGTTTTTGGATATCAAGAATAATAATAATCACATTATTAATTGAATAAAATGAAATCGAAATCGAAATCGAAAAGGAAAACAAAATTAGGAAAAAGAGAGAATCCACGCACCTCGAGTATTTTATCTGAGAGGTTGCAATTTTGCCTCGCGTCGTTTGGCGGCGGGGCTTATATTCTCTTTATGCTCGTGCGATCTCCCTCGACATATGCCATCCAAGCTCTTGGTTTGGTTATTCAAGCGCGGTAACGGAACTCGTGTGTCCACCTTCGCGCATGCGCAATTCACCTCCCCAAATTCCGTAGACATTCTGGACGTCCCTGAGTCGATGATTCAGCGTCGCCAATCCATATGAGAGGATATAGATTGTTTGTATCTCCCAGAAAAATAAATCAACGAAAGCGAAAATATTTGGATATAGATTGTTGTCGATAATTAATACACATATTTTATTAACTAATTATCTCAAACGAATCTATTTTTTTGTGAAATAAATGAAATCTGAATGGACATCAATATAAAAAGGTGGCGAAATCCAAATACCATATATTCATGCTGATATAATAGTGATTGCCGCGTTTTAAAAGGAGTGTATTATCCGTGGAAAGGAAAGGATTGCCTCCATGAAAAGGTGCATGAGGTCCATATCTCTTTCTATGGACTATAGGTGTACCGGCAGTTGCTTTCTTAACATTCTTCTCGAAGGAAGTTGGATAAGGGTCTCGACCTCTCGATTTCTATTCTAATTTGAGGTAAGCGTTCGAAAAAAATTAGACTCTTATGATTCTCGATTAAACAGAGCATCTCCAACTGGATTTTGGATACGAGACTATAAGCTCCGTTTGTTTCGCGAAAAAAAATGAACGGTTCGAAAAATATTTTCCCGAAAACGATCGCTCGCATCGCTTACGAAAATAAACGGACGAAAAATATCTATACCACTATCCACATATATGTTAAGATATAAACTACTGTTAATTAATAAAATATTTCCAATCGATTAATTATTTCAAGCGATTATTAGAAGAGCGATTGTTCTCGAGATAATATTTTCTGAATCGTTCATTTTAATCTTAAAGACTCGCTAAACAAGAAAATAAATAAATGAATAAATGAGCGTTGCGATTTAAAAAAAAAAACACGGAGCAATATAAATAAATTCCGCTTTTCAAAATCTCGAAAACGGAAAATGAGCGACGGCGAGGCCGCGCTCCTCCGTCTTCTCGCATTTCGCAACCGGGGAGAACGTGAAAAGACAAATTTGCACAGCTCCTCATCCGACCCGAGAGAACGGGGAGACGCCGCGCTCGGGACCGGGGGTAGATTCGTCATTTGGGGGAACGAGAGAAAAGCGCGCAGGAGGGGGGGCGAGGGGCTGCCAAGTGTCGGCTCCTCAGGAAGCAAGGAAGGGAGACCTTCTCGTACCTCATTGGACCGAGCGCTGCTCCCCCCTGCAGCTTCGTGCACGGGATATTATTTATCCCCGCTCCCTCCCTCCCTCTCGGCTTCTCGGGTGACGTGTCGCCGCACACGTGGCGCGTGGATATGGGCGGCTGGCCTGGAAGATACAGATTCGCTCACGTGGCGCGATCCGATTCGGCGGGAGCAGGACCACCATGGGCTTTCGCCCGAACCAACCCGGGTCGGGTCGGGTGGGGGCCCCCCCCCCCCCCCCCGCGGGGGGGGGGCATTTCGTCGGACCCTCGGGCAGCGAGCAGGGGACGATACTGGACCAGGAATTTTTCCTTCTCTTTGTACTTTAGCGTTGGAGCGGCAGTAATGGCATTTTAAAATTTAAAATCAAATTGAATTAAATAATTACCTTAAAAGAAAAAGAAAAAGAAAAAGAGGAAATTGGCAATTTATGTGGTGGGGGTGGTGGGGTTGGGGGCTTCTGCCCGCACTTACGAGGGTGCCCATTGGGCTGGGGGGGGGGGGGGGGCACTCATCGACCGTTTGGAAAAAATTGGTGTTTTGAGATTTGTGGCTTTCCTTTCCACGAGGATGGGAAGTCCAGATAAGGCATTTTGAATTGCGCGAAGAGGGGATACCCCATTTGAGGGAAAAAAGCGTGGAAGTCCGAACGAATTTTGCCGTCTTTTGGTGCGTTCATTCTTAACGGGAGTGATCGGTTACCGGTTCCGATCCGGTCCAATGGAACCGATCACCTAGAGTTTTAGTTAACATTTTACTAATTTTTGTCCATGAATTTACGTTGATGATTTGGTTCACATTTTATTAATTTTTCGCCAACGAAGTAGACTTAGGGTTTTAGTTCACATTTTACTAATTTTTTTAAAGAGATAAAAATGTAAAAAAAAAAAGTATTTGTGGTCGGTCCGGTTCCCCCCTTGCAATTGGGAACCAAACCGGTCGGTCCGGTCCGGTCCGGTTCGGGCTGTCCGTTTTGCACGCCCTTAATTCTTAAGCATGGTTAATACAATATCTCGGGCTGATGTCAGAGTTCTCGTAGAGTGTAATTTTGAATGCATCGAGTTAGATCGTCCGGGGAGGCGGACTCGTCGAAGCGCGTGAAAGCCGACCCCGACGCGGCTAAATAAAAAAAATAGAAAGAGAAAAGAATCTCAAAGCACTTGTTAAAACGAGGTCTTGAACATTTTTCACTATTTTTCAAGGTGTTGTGCGTCTTGGTCGACTCATTGGCCGAGGTTGAGCGTTTCACTTGACACGGTCGGCTTTTCATCTCGGTTTCACGACATGCTCACGGTGTCGTGAGACGGGCGAAACGAACCGAAATGTTCGGGAGAAACCGGGAGGGGGAGAAAAAAAAAAAGGGGAAAGAATTCGAGTTTTTGTCACTGAAGATGGAAAAAAAAAAAAGAGTGAAAAGTGATTAGACCTTTTTTTTTTCTTTGTTTTTTTTTTTTGTTGGTGATAGTCCAAACTTCACAAGATGCGAGAAGGCTGAAATTCTCTAGAGAAGCCCAGAGAGCCTTCGGAATGGGCCGAGTGACCCAAACAATACGTGCAAAGAAGGCCCACAAAAATTGGAATAATAAAATAATAAAAAAATGATTCGAGAATTTTAAGGTAAAAAAGGACGTCGACAGCAGGGTTCGAACCTGCGCGGGCGAAGCCCAACAGATTTCAAGTCTGTCTCCTTAACCACTCGGACATATCGACTCGTTCTTGCTACTTCATTCGTCAATTTTAATATATAACAAAGTCACACTTCGCTCACGCCACCGTGGAATGTAAGATTCTGATGAGAAATGAACGCGCAGTTAAAAACTGAGCTCGAGCTATCGAAGTTCGACGGCGGTAAGAGAAACTAATTCTTGCTTCTCGCGTGGTTAATCTCGTAGATTTGATTGGCACGCATCGAGGCTGAACGTCCCGGTCCGGCCCGCAATGTCGCTTTCAAATGTTTTTTGTTTTTTCAAGCTCCGAGTCAGCTCGATGCCGAAGCTATTTAAGCTCGGATCGGGATGAAGTCAGCGAGTTGAGGTCAAATCACTCGCGGACGACTTGTGCCGGGGAATGAAGTCGCCATTCGACGGCCAAAGCAGGAGCGGCGATCTGGCGAGCCGTCGGCTGCTTAAGAAGTACTCGGAAATGTTAGGGATACCTAACGGGGAAAATCGAGAACAAACAAAGGAACCGAGCATCTTGTTGGTATTTTGTTTGTAAACGAATGAAGATACTACCTTTGAAAGATCGTATCTGTTCAGTCTATTTAATATTTCCGGTTCAATACTTTTAACTTCTATTTTCGTTCCTTTCATAAGATATACCGCCACTGTTTTCAATTGTTTCTCTATGAGAGTTCCTTGAAAAATACCATAATCGTTATCTGGTGTTATCGTTCGAGACTTTTTTATATCTTGAAGGATTTTTATGAATATCCATTAGTAACGTTACGAGGTAAAATAATTTCTAAAAACGGGGTGCTCCCCGTCTCAAAATTCGATTTCATTTTTTTCTTATTGATTTTTTTTTTCCAACACATCCGTCGTCGGTTCGCGACGCGCGATTGGCTGTCGCAAAATCAAAAATTCGAATGTCTAATCATGGAAAAACCAGCTCCTCGAGAGAGAGAGAGCTGCGTTGCACCTTCCAAAGTTGCGAAGAAGTCAAATCTTGTTCCCCACCGTGCACCAATTTTCATTGCCGTCGCCAGCGAATAGGGGAGGGGACACATGCATCACCACATCGCGGGACGACAAGCCCGACGACCGGACCTTGACTTTTGGTTTCGCTTTGCCTTTGCAAATAATTCAACTCCATGTGGGGTTTTGCCCAAAGTAAAAAAAAAAAACATTTGTGGTCGTGCGAGAAAAGTCGAGGGGCCAATTGCAAATCAAATTCTCTCGCGGCACGACCGGTTTCCAACCAACATATCGGCGATCACCACGGACGTGATGCTACCTATGTAGACCCGACCAATGGGTGTGTCTAGGCGAGTCGGACAAGATGTCGAGCTCAGAAGTCTTCATCAAACCCGCCCATGAATCGAGAAGTATCGGTTTTTCTCCGTTCGGGCTTTCGGCTGGCTAAAGAAGGCCGATGTAGGGTGGAAACATCTCGCCCTACGCTCACCCAAAACTGTGTTTCGAGCCTTGGCCGCTCGGCATGCTGACTGGATCGGTAGGCTCGTGATCAGGGTTAATTCTAGGGCATGCCATCGGGTTCTGTACGACTGGACCTTACTCGTGGATATAACTAGCGAAATGACGGGCATGAACGAGATCCCATATGTTGGAGTTGGCGAATACTTCGGGGACCCTTGTTTCTCACACCGGGTACGCCCACGTGAGCTTAGGGAACCGAAGTGTTGTCCGACGACATATGACCCATGCGTGCGGAATGCGGGGTTCGGGCGGCGCCCGACACGTGCACGTCTTGTGCTGGGCGTGAGCGGGGTTCGGGCGCGCCCCGACGAGGTTCCTGCCGGTCGGTACGGACGGCCGCCCG